AAGCTAGCTGAGTCTTTGGCAAAGCCTGAATATTCGAAAGCCAGTAGCAGTATCAGCTCGCACTCCAGCTGCAGCAGTTCCTGGCGCAATAGATCTAAATGAAGCACGAACTGTGTATTGCGCAGGTGCACCACTAAGACGAACGGTTGAAAGGTGATCCAGAAGAGCAAAAGATGACGCGAAATCTCCTGCATTAGCACATACACGCACAACAGCGCCAGCTCCAACAATAGCGTGCCATAGAATATGAGAAGGAAGCGCCAGTGTTGCAGGAGCTGCTGCCGCAGGGTTCGAACTGATGGTGTTGCCTTGAACGTTGCTGCCAGAGCTTCATATAGCTGCCAAAAGCACGCCAGGTGAACTCGTTGCGACGAAAGTGTCTCCCAGTAGATACTCAATATGGCCATTTCGGCAAAGCCAAACTTCATGGCATCGTTGAAGTAGCTAAAATTGTCGCCCTGGTAGAGGAAGTCATCGTCGCTGGTTAAGCACATGTACACCACTCCACTGAACCCCGTTAATAAGCATCCGGCCCAGAGATTCAGTAGCTTTGACTTTTGCCTCGGATACACATCGCTTGACAGCGGTAGCCCGTGCATCCCTATCAGCTGATAACAGCGCAGGTGAAAGCGCAGTACCTGATCGATGTGGTAGCCTATCATCGTTTAACCTCAGCTCCACCAGCGACCACCCTATCATCTGGACATCTCTAAACAGCCGTGGACACGTGGCGTAAGAACGAGCAAACCACATGCTTCACTGCTCTTTGACAATGTGTTAGGACTAGGGAGACTCCAGTAATATTCATAGCCGTTTTCAATTATGCAGATAGCTTAATGAAGAGTGGTTGACAAAAATATATATACGTATACTTATATAGAAATATGTATATTTTTTGTCTGATACAACGACAACCATTTAATAGTAATAGACAAGTAAAGCATTGGTCTCGGTTGCTACCGACTGCATAATACTTGTTCGCGGTCCAATAAAAACTTCATTTTAGAAATATACCTATACTTTCGGCATTATGACGCCCCATTGAGAGGACAATACGTTTTTAGGCCCGTCTCTAGAGGCGATGCGAAGGGGAGGGGAATTATGTTTATTTAAATTTATATCGATTTGTGGTCAACAGTAACTTAATAATACTTTCAAATAATCATATAATTATGAAAGATTAAATTTTTTATATATTAAATAAGTAAGAGCCCTAACCTGCAAATAAATAAAAAAATATATATATATATATATATATATATATATATATATATATATATATATATATATATATATATTGCAGATTAGGGTTCTGACTTATTTAATGTATAAAAAATTTAATCTTTCATAATTTATATGATGATTTGAAAGTATTAATAAGTTATATGTATATACACACATATATATATATATATATATATAGTATATATATATATATTATATATATATATATATTTATATATATATATAATGATGATAATTAATGACATAGAATAAAGCATATTTGACACGAAATATATATCCCTTAATCGGACTTAAATGGAAATAGCATAGCAAAGTTTTCTAGCATGCTATAATTTTTCCCATTTACTCGCAAAATAATTCAAATGAAGTTTTATATCATTTCTGTTTTCCAGCAAACCTTGAAACTTTAAAACGTCTGAATAATGTATCAAATATAGAATACGCTAGAGTTAAATTGAAATCGTAGTCGGACAAATTATTCCCAAAAGCCCTCTGGTCAAAATACAATTTACAATGAACCCAATGTAAATGGAACTCGGAGAGAATGCATAAATCGATTATTCGATTTGGTTTTGAAGCGTAATTTGAATACCACAAAAGTAGGAGGTTTTAAATTGTAAGTTAAGGCTCCTGTGATATTTTGAATATTTTGCATTTTTAATACATACATACTTTATTTCAAAGTAATTTTTGATCGAACTTAAGACTAGCTAAAAACAAAAAAGAATCCAATTAATTATCATTAGATTAATATTAAGAGCAATTCTGATTAGAGGGTAGGGCCCGGGATATTGGTATTCGTTGATACCGCCCTGGACGTGTCCAACATTGTAGCTATCGGTGCCGCTGTATGTCTCAGCGGGCAACGTTGTTATAGGCTGTGCGACTTGGCCAATTCACCAAGCCGGGGTGACGGCGACGTGATTGGATTGGAGCAGCATATGCATCTATGTCTTCATCGTAGGCATCCGCCTGTGCAGACAGTTGAGGCGATGGACGGAAGTTGGTGCCGCTGATGTCGCCTGCTGCTGCTAAAGTCGTATGGATATGGACTGTCCAGGGAGGACTCCTCGGGCGCCTCCAATGTGTGGGCAGGCGCTTGAGCCGACTTGACGTGCGCATAGTTGGGTGGCGTATAGTTGTAGCCCTGCTCCAAATCCCATGGCTCGTCGACCGGTGCCGGCTCCGCATATCCATCGCCATGATACAATGAGGAAAAGGATGGCTTGTGGCGATGTTGACGCGCTGGCGGTGCATACTGATAGCCCACATCGTCAGCGTTGTGCTCCGGCTGATGTTGTGAGTGCTTGTGATGATGATGTTTATGATACTTTTGCGGTCTGTTGTCAATTACGCGATACGTATCCACGACATGATCTGGTCGCTCGTAGTCGTAGGGTCGATACTTTTCCTCGATGATCGTATAGGTGTTAACCTTCTTCTTCGGCGGTGTCGGCATCTTCTTCATCGAGTAGGATTCGCTGAGATGCTCGGCTAGTTCTTTTGCATGGTTCAGATAATCCGCATGCTCGCTCATGTGCAGGGGCTTATCCAGATCGGACAATATGACACTCTCTAGCAGTGGGCTGCTTTTCGGCTTTAAAGTAGCGCGTCCGCGCAATCTTTGATGTGATGGCGAATGGTGGTGAAAGTGATGGATGACGTTGTGTTGGGGTCCCTGCTCAGCATCGACAGCAATGGTCGGTGCCTGATCCTTTGGCACATGGACCTTAATGTGGACATACTCGTTACCAAAGGCGGCCACCAGAGGCGTCAGTAGCAACGCCAGTAAAAGCAGCAGTAAAGCTGACATCTCATTTGGGCCCTGTCGTGAAATACATGAGACTACGTTTGGACATCTGCTTTAACTGGATGGTCTGGTCAGGTCCAGTGTGATCTGTTCTACTCTGCTTTCGCGCTGTCACCTGTTTGCCGCGCGCATTGCCAAAATTGGTTTAAACTGTGGTCTTTCCATTGTCAAAATTTATATACCATCTGCGACTGCTCACCTCAAACGGGAAAATTTTAAAAACAACTCCAAAGAGTCGACTATGAAATGCGCTCTTTTACATTCCATTTTCAAAATTTATATACCATCTGCGACTACTCACCTCAAACGGGAAAATTTTAAAAACAACTCCAAAGAGTCGACTATGAAATGCGCTCTTTTTTACATACATATCAATAAAATTAATTATTAAAAAATTAAAATGACAAAAGTTTTAAAATAATATACCATTTTTTTTAATATCACGTTCTATAAGCTAATATGTTATGAAAGACTTAGGAATATATATGAGTATATATATATATATATTCCTAAATCTTTCATAACATATAATATGTATATATATATATATATTATTATTATTAAGATAAGATATTAAGGGAAGAACAATATTATTGTTATTGTTTAATAATTCATATCTAAAAATGATTTATTCAAATTCGTCTGACATTACCATGTTTTTAAAAGGGAGTGTATTAAGAAAAAACTGTAAACCGATGTCATTACCAGCATCATGGTGCGGGGAGTTTGTTAGCCTCTTTTCGTAATCGGCCCTCTGCCTCACGCCGTCTCTTTCTAACTGCCACAAACTGTTCCCCTCTCTACCCATGCCTCGGCCCCAACCTCGTTACGTTTAGCGGTTGATTTTTCAAAATTTGTTGTCTATTTTTTATATATATATATTTTGTTTTACATATTCGTCGATTGTTTTTAAACTTTTGCTTTTATTATTATTGAAATGGATTGTGCCGCAAGCGGGCGCATACATACATACTCACATATTCTTCTAGCCGCGAGCAACAAAAATTTTAGTCAAACGAAAGTTTACGATGAAAGTGTTGTTCGATACAAATTCGATATCGAAACTTTAGAAGCTCGAATGCGGACCCATTTTATGATGTTGTGACACAAAACATTGCTAACTGGAAGTACCATTGTTGATTCTAATTAAACGTCACTATGCATATTCTAATTAGAGTTGTATAATCAAGTCTGGTTTCATTTTTAGGCCATTTTGTGTTTGCTGTGTTTCATTCCACAGATTTGTTAAAAGCAAACATTTGATTGTTATGCAAATACTAAATACAAGCACTGAGAAAGTTGGCAAAAAATTTAACTCTTCACCATCATCATTATAATAATTATCATTATGCCATCTCATTTAACACTCTCTATACATAAATATTTAAACTTAGTTGTATTAATATATTGAGATTTATTTCAATTAAAATTCCTACAAAAATATCGCATCTAATTAACTTTAAGGATTCGTAAGGAAAATGAAAGTTAATTAAAATTTAGGGACTTACAAATCTTATCAATTATAAATGAGTGCAATAAAAAGAATAATCGTTACTGTAGCGTCGATAGTTAGCGTTGTCAAATATCGATAATCAGTGGCAGTATTGAGCCAAAGGCCGCAGGATTGTCTGGCATCAACAAATTCAGCTGATGTTCCTGTAATGGGATTGGTTGTTTAATTTTCTGATATAAGGACAAAATATAATTAAAAATACCGCATTGATGAATTAAACAGTTGATAATATGTTCTTGTTTATAGCAAGACACATGTTGCGAAGCTTCGTCGTAGCACAGAGATCGCCACGCCTGTTGCTACAATCGTGACATACGCAGCATGCCCGTGCTGTATGCTAAGGTTTTTGTTGAGTTTGAGAATCAGCACGCACACAGCATTTTATCGGATTCTCTAAAGCCGTATAAGATTGTGCGCCCCAGCGATTGGTTAAAAACAACTTCAACTGATACTCATAATGATGCGCCAATGCGTGTGTTAGAGCCCTCAAAGAATGCACAACCAGTTGAATTGTATGTGGACTTCCAAGCTCTGGTCCAATACTGTGCGCACACGTCTATACAAATTAGCGACGATCGTTTTTCTGACTTTATAGCCATCTATTGCGCAGAGCTACATAAGCTGAGCGACGATCAACTGCTGGGTACGCTGCTTTGCCTACAACAATTACCGACGCCAGTGTCCACAAAGGTGGCCAACTACATGGAGCTGTGGAACACATTGGACATCGAGTGTTGTCGCCGTATCGAACGCTGGCCTAGCTCCCAATTATTACTGGTAAGCGATGCCTGGTACCAGCTCGGACTTGCACGCATTGGTGAATTTGTGTGGCTCGCGCTACGCAGACTTGGCCGCAAGATACGCAAAATGCCGCCAGAGCAATTGGTGCAGTCCATGTTTTTGTGCAATCTCCTGCGTCGCCCCGTATTTGAAATGTTTGATTTTGAGCTAAATTTGACGCAGTGCATACATCAAATGACACTAAAGGAGCTGGGAGTCATGGCCATGGGCTTCTTCAAGACACAGACGCCCATACGCAGCACCGAGTTGTTGCAGCAGTTCTACACTCGCCTAGAAGCGGAGCTGGATACCGTCGAAAACATTACGCTAGTTTCTCTGCTCAAGATATTGCGCTACAGTAGTAAATTGCCACATGTAGCGGCACTCACCCAGCTACTTGTGGCGCTGCAACCGCAAGTAGAACGCGTCTCGCTGCTGACTTGCTTGCACATGGCACTACTCGGCTGCGAACTGCAGACATGCAATGATGAGCTTGTGGAGCGCATTCTGCTACGTTTCGAACGCGAACTAGATGCGGCCCGTCTTAAGGATTTGGAGCGCATTTGTCTGGTCATAGCTTTATTTAATATAAACACAGCTAGTGGCGTTGAACGCCGTCTAGCTACACGTTTTCCGGAAATGCTGCGTGGCCGCATTGATGAGATCTTGCGCTACCCACGCTGCTATACCAACTGCCTGCAGTTTCTCAGCATGCGCGGCATTTACGATATTGAGCAATTGAGTGTAGTATTGGAGCCGCGCTTTCTACGCCACGCCTACCGTGATGGTCTGCCAGGTCGCGAATACTTCCACCTGGATAGTTATGCCCACCTACTGGGCTCAGAGTATGATGGACCACGGCTTACCGATCGGCAACGTCAGCAAATGGGTAAACTGTATACACAATATATACCGGATCGCACAGATGGCCGCTTTAAACTCAATAGCACAGATCGAGTTCTGTTGGAGATTCGCGATGCTCTAGGCAGTCTGCTGCGCACCACAGTTAGTCTGAAGCATATTCTGCCCCACTACGATCGCTGCGATATGATCGTATGCTATAATCGACAACAGCAGCGCCCTGTGCCATTGAATGTCGACAACTGTCCGGAAGACTACAGTGGAGTCTTGCTCACACGGCAGCATTTGCTTGGTTCCATGGAGGCGCCATACATAGATACACTGATAATTACGGTCGCCGGCTGGAATAATGTTATACGCGAAAAGGAACGATACACGGGACAGTTTGCTTTGAAGCTAAAACAACTGAAGCAGCTTGGGCACAAGACAGTTGTGGTAAGTACTATCAGCTCTTTTAAAATTGTTAGGCTAGTTCCATCCAAATATGATCGTACTCATTAAGATTACATTCATGTAAAGTAAAATAACTCATACACTTAATTTTTAATTAATAATTTTTAATAGAAAATATGTAAAGATGGGTACACATCTAACACGCTCTTAACATACTAAAATGCCAAACTCTCTGCAAAAAGTCTTCTTTACTTCTTCACTCACAGATTCTTTGGCACGAGTGGAACGCACTGGAAACACCAGCGGATCGGCAAGACTTCTTGAAACGACGTCTTCGCCAGGCAACCAACATGTGACTGGCCTGATAATCGAAAATCATTTATGTTATGCTAATCATAGGAATAACTATAGTAATAGTAAGTAATAATAAAAAAGACAACAAAATTGTAGTGGATATATTTATAATAGAAATACAGAAACATGGGCTAATTTGTAATAACCGCCCGCGGTCACGCCCACGCCTGTTACGATTGCAGCAAGTTATTGAGCTATTGTCCCATGTAGAGCCTTTTTAGTATATTCGTAGACAACGAACAGGGTGGCAGTAGCTGGAATGGTTCGCAGAATAGATGGCAACAGTCCACGATATAATGCCAATACACCTTCGCGTCTGACAATATCTGCACCGACACTGAACATGCCCTCATTTAGGTTTTTTACCTGAATACGACTCTTAATAACATCAGCTGGGAATGTTGATGTCCATAGACATACACCGCCAATGGCCCCAGCAACCATGGTTCGAACTGGACCAATCTCATCTTTTGTCTGATCCTTACTGTCAGTTATAAAGCAATTTAAATATATTTTTTGTATATAATGTGCTATGCATTAATGCTGTACTCACCTACGCAGCAGCTCACGTGTACCTTCATAGCTGCCGAAGAAAAAGAAATATCCAGGCATTTCGCGCACAAATGTGGATCCCAAGCCCCGGTAAAAGCCGCGTATGCCTGCCGGCAGAGAGAGATAGAGAATGAACATTACACAGAATAAAAGAGATGTAGCCAGCGAGAGAGCACGAGTAATAACTGACTTTGTCAAGTGTGTGACGAAGTTTGTAAAATAACAAATAATGTCTCGCACGTGAGGTCACTGCTCTATTAATAAGCTAATAAGCTAAACTTATATTAACATCCACGTGGAGCATCCCTGGTCGTGATGTTTCTTATCTATACCTACTAGCGTACCAACCACAAATGAATGTATATGTATATGCAAAACAAGTAAGAGCGCAATAGTTGGGTCTACCCAATTAGAAAATATCCTGACAAGGTAATATTCTCATCATTCTACGATTCTCTAAAATAGCTGCGCACGCACGCATAAGCAAGCACTCTGCTTATTCCGTTAGTTTATGCAGCGACTTCGAAGGGACTTCACTATGGGAAATAAATTGTTGAATAATTTTTCTTATAGCATGTCTTTAGTATGCGCTAACGTTTTCTGATCATTTTCCAGGAAGGAGGTATGTATCCAAAATCAATGTTCTGTATTCATTACATGAACCTGTTTATCGAAATAATTTATGTGAAATAATAGATAAGGGTGCGTCGTCCTGAACTAGAATATATTTACTTTGTGGGGTCTGCCACGTCCTACTAACTGTTACAAACATTGTCACAAAATCATAATACCCTGATTTCCCATTTTCAATGGGAAACAAGAAACAGATTCCAAACTGAGAACTCACTCTTTGGTATACTATGCCCCATTCTGTCAATCAATCAAAAAGAATTTGTAAATTTCCACTTGACTGATAACAAGCACTAATTATACATATGTTATATATTTATAAGTCGAATAGCATTATATTGCAGCATTATCCAGAAGAAGTGGACATACCAACTATTACGGATATTGGTATTATTATAGTAATATTATTCTAAAATATTTGATTTACTTTGCTATTTATTTATAGATATCTTTAAATCTGATTGATGATATGGATCATAGAGGAGTATTCATTCATAAATTATATTTGTCTTTCATGGACCCAATCAATAAATATGTGCATGCAAATGAATTTACGACTTTTATGGTAGTATATTAATTCATATATGTATATAGGCTTTCAATAAATCGGTTGAGCCGTATAAAAAAGTATTTCGAACCTTAAGTTACATTTTTCATTTCTTTCCATTCAATAAATGTAGATTATGCATATATATTTTAAAATACGGACTAGACAGTCCGGTAAAAAAATCAGCAAAAATAGATAGTAAAGCTAAATGTAGACAATCTGTGCTGCAGTACAAATTATTATTAAATATAATTTCATTTCATTGAGCAGAGCAAAATTATTCGAAATAATTGAATCAATCTGGTAACGTCGAAACGGCGAACTAGCTAAGCGTGCAGCTGATTTTTTTGCTATTTTTTTTTTTTTTGTCAGCGGGTCTACAGTACTCGCGATTAAATGTGAATTATGAAGCAATGGAGAGTAAAAACAGCGATGTGTTTAATCTAATCAACATAGCTTAAAAAATAATCAAAATTCTTAGCACTCACCTTCGGTGCGCCAAATGTAACGTGTTAATGTCCATGGTGTACGAATGTCCGCCGCCTGAGTGGGTTCCACAAAGTGTTTCATTTCGCGCAGCGCCTGTAGCTTGCATTTGATCAGTTCGGTGGGGCAGAGGGTGAGCGTGGAGAAGCATGCTGCTAATGATCCGGCACATGCGTTCTCCGTGGTTGTCAATTCGCTTGTTAATTCCTTGTCAACGACATAGGTAACAAACTTCTGGCAGCCACCATAGGCAGCAAAGAGTACCGAGTTTTCTGCCACATTTGCAAATACCGCCGGCACAGAGCCGGCATACAGACCCCGCATAACTCCATCTTTTCGGTAGGTACTCAAAAAGCAATCCAGCATGCCTTTGTAGGTCTCTGGAAATGTTTGCAGTTTTACCTTGACAGTATCTAATGGTTGCGAGACATAAACCTGAGCGGCGCCACCTATAAGAATTTAATTCAATAATATATTATTACGTATAAGTAAAATTTCCGCGAGGCCTGAGAACTCACCCAATGAACCGGCCAAAAAGTCAATGAGACCCCCGACGAAATTGATGTTGTTACCGGTCGTGCCCCCATGCATGTCTAAATGTAAAATGAATCTCAAAATTTTTCCGAATATCAGCAAGAGTCCATCATGAAAGGCGGTAGGCGCATTCCAAATATTGGGTGTATGAAAAAACGAATGGCGCTCTTGGGCTTTTGCTCTCTTTTTCTCTTCTTCTTGAACCGTTTTTTCATAAGCCTCGGCAATTTGCTCTGGCGTCATTATCAGCATTTCGCTGCCCACTGTCGTGCTGCCAATATCGGGTGGTGACAGCGACGACTGCGCTGTCGTCGCCGCCCCATTATGTTCATTATTATTGTGCTCTCTTAGCGGCGTTGACGTCGCTGCTGCTATCTCCACCGGGGTCGGCGTCATATGTATTTGCTCGGTGTGCTCTCAACAATTGTCTATTTGCTATCTCATTCATTGAATAGCAATTTCGTCATGATAGTGCTCTCGCACGCGCTCTCTCGCAGTGGTTTTTTCCCACTCAATCTCTCTCTCTCTCTCTTTCTCACACACTCTCTATTTCGCTCTCACACACACACTCTCCCCCAAATGGTATCTTAAAAATGTCGTTCGCTTGCGGTCTATCGTTCTTGGTTATCGCAATCGTTTTTGACTCCAGCTTTTATCGTTCTTGTCAGTAGAATGCGTTGCTTGCTTGCTGATAATGTCGTTTCGTATGGTTTCGTTAATTCGCGATGTTGCCTCTCTGTTAACTGTGCACTGCATATGGAAACAAAACTTGTGCATTTTGTTCAACAAAATTTGGAAGGAAATGCCAAAGCTATGAACATCATATTATTTAAAATATATATATAAAATAAAAATATACATATACAGAAAATTCAAATTTAGACATATGTATATGACCTACAAATAAGAATACAAAAGTCATTGTAGTATAATTTGAATAGTAATATAATTTACTTAGAAAATATCTAAACAATAAGTAGTTCTTGTAGCCGTAGATATTTTAAATTAATAATTAACAGGTTTTTCATTTTGCATGAAACAAAGAAAATTTCTGCATTTGGTGAAGAAGCCACTTTTATATCGGTTTGAAGAAGGGTAATTAAGCATCTTTAACTCCAAAACCTATCGACGTTTTTTGGTAGTTCTGTCGGAGTCATTCGTGTTTTTAATGGATTAAGATGAACGAAGTTGTTGTCATTCAAATAATTTTCATTTTTATTAATAATCGATAATTTAATTACTTCACATGTAAATATCATTTGTTTTTATCAGCATTTATATATATGCCAAATATTTGCCAAATATTTAAATACAGAAGAAAAAAAAATGGCTAAATGTAAAAAGTTGCTCGAGCTAAGTTCCTGTCAAAGTATATATATGTATTATTATTGTTAGTTATTATAACATTTATGCATATGTCAATTATAAAGTGTTTAACCTAATTATATTTAACTTGTATTCATTATTCATTACTCATTGTTCATTATTCATTACATGTCCAATTTTCATCTTTATTTCCATTTCCATTTGGTTTCATCTCTGAGTTTGTTTTTGGAGAATAGTTGGGGTTTGCTACCAAAAAAGTGTCTTAATAGATTCCTTAATTCGTATATTTATTTGTTATTATTGAATTTCCCCTTCACTCAACTTTTGCTCAACAGTTTGTACTCGTTTAAAATTTTTCTTTCTCGGTTTTCATGGTGTAAAAATAGCAATGCATGTTTATTTCATGTAATTTTATTATATACAAACTCAACGGCAAATCGTAAAAATCATAATTTTTATAATTAGCACTGTTTTTATTAATTTTAATTTTTTTTACATATACAACTATACATATTGTTTTTATTGTTACAAAATCATATATCATATATTCGTTATATGTATATATATATATATATATATATATATATATATATATATATATATATATATATATATAAATAAATATATTTATATAATATATATAAATATATATTATATATATATTATATATATATATATATATATATATATATATATATATATATATTGCCAGTTTTAGCGAGAAAAAAAGTAATCTACACTTAAACATATTGGCACACTTAATGGTTGATTTTTGTTTATTTATATTTTGCCATAATTTTATTTTATTTTAATGAAAGAAGTGTTCGCATAAAATGTAAGTAGTAGTTAAGAAAACTGAAAGTTATGCAACATATTTTAATTGGTTTTTTTGTATAGCTTATATGGATTACTTGTGATTTAGTAGTAGAAATAGAATAGAACCGAGGAACCAAAAATTGTTATGTTCGAAATACACATATATATTTGCGCTTGAAATTGAACTATAGAATCAAGGATTTGTGGATAGTAAGCGCACAGATAGCTGCCAGACGATTCTACTGGGACATATATGTATATATGTATATTTATGATAATTATGTTTATATATATAACTCTATACATCATATATTTGAATTGCACATAGTCCCGGTTAGCTATATGCAGGCCTTTCTGCAAGATTATATATATATAATCTAGTTCCTAGCATATCATCTGTCATTTCGCAATAATTTATTCAAAGTATTGTGTATCTAGCATAGTATTGTGTATCTGTGCCTGCTTTTTGGGTTCGTCTGTGGCGGCCAATAGATGGCACTAATTAGTAGTAAGCGGGAAAAGGATGATAATTAGAAGGATTGGAAGCATGATGATTGGCCGTTGGTAATACCGGTGGAGGCCGTACGCCCGGATGATAATTGCTGGATGCCACCTGATGATACGCACCAAAGCTCCTGGCCATATGCCGATTCTGTGCAGCTGCCGCCGCTGATTCGCCCAGAAGACGTGACTGGTCTGTGGTGCCCAGCAATCGATTGTTTTGCTCCATTAGTAGATGAGCCGTGGGATCGACGAGCAGCCTATGCTGATCCGCAGCAGCATTCGAGGCAGCCAATATGCGATGCTGTTCGACCGTCGAGAGCAAGCGATGATGTTCGAGGCTCTCGCGACTCTGATGCTGCATCTGCGAAGACAGAAACGAGCGATTATTTCCCACCGTCATATTGCTCGTATTGGGTGTTAGATCCAGGGAGGCCATGCGCAGCATATCATGATGGGGATGATTGTAGGGCAGCTGCGGCGGCGACGACACCACATAGTTGGCAGTGCGACTTAGATCCACCGATGTGGTTTGGTCGTGCTCCTGCTCACCCAACTGTTCACTGAGCATGTTGTGCATAGCCGCCGACTGATGCTGCTGCATGGCCAGCTGACTGCTGTGACCACCATGGCTGCCATGCTCTTGTTGATGCACTACCGATGCCGGCGTCTGTTGCTGCACCTGCGCCTGCTGATTCTGCTCCCGATCAGAGAGTATATCGTAGATGTGGTGATGGTAACGGCTGCTAGGCAGCTGGAAGTTATGATGATAATTGCTCGACGCATTCGAGCGCGAGCTCATGTCCAGGCCCTGCAGATCGGACATGTCATTCGCAGTGCTTGCAGCAGCTGCGGCGGCAGCTGCCGCACTTGCCACATTGCTATTGCTGCTCTGCCGATACTCAGCCGGGGAGTCAAGCTCCTGGCTATTGTACTTGAGATTGCTGGCCATGCTTTCATATTTGGAGTACATGAGATCGATCTGTGATTGCGGGAACTTCATACGCATATCCTGTCCAGTGCTGTTCGATAAGAGTGATTAGTTGGAGGATCGAATGGATCACTTGGATTACCAGACTTACCTGTTCTGTGGCATAATGCTGTTCTCTTCGTCGCTGGACATTTGATTGTGCCGCGAGATATTGTGGCGTCGCTCCTGTTGCTCATGTTCTTGGACGGCGCGCTTGTGACGCATCATGTCGCCGTTGAAGTTGTAGCGTGGTATGCTTGGCGAGGAGGCGGGCGAAATGAGCTCGTGCTCGGGATATGTGCTGCCCACGCTGGAGGCGTTACGTCGCTGCGGCTGCAGCGCTGCCGGTAGAGGAGACGATGCGGACAAATTGTTGCCCGCCGTTGGAGCCCCACCACCACCGCTAGAGCTGCCTGCCGGCGTGCTATTTGAGCCGGGTCCACCGGCACCATTGCCGGCACCAAACATGCCGCCATAGTCGCGACCCGGTGATATGGGCGGCGGCGAGGGCGGCGTCCGGTGGTGCGACGACGAGAAGCCATCTGAATCTGGATGTTGGGGACGCGGCGTGCTGCTGGCATCCACATCTACATCGTTCTGGTTCTGATTGCTCTGCGGGTTGGTGGGCGTCGAGGCGTTCGGCGATATATTGCACGTGCCTTGGAACATTGGCAATGGTGGTATCTGCATGGGAAAGCTGCCCAGGTTCTTCATCATCTTTAATTCGTTCTCTAAGTTGTCCATGGTTGCGCCAATGCCTGCACCATTCGACCCACTGACGCCGCCTCCACCACCACCACTACCGAAGCGTTGAGCATCCGCATCGACATGTGCGCTCATCGGACTATCGCTATTTAGATGGTTCTCGGTGGGTACCTGTTAAAGTAGAAAAAGACACGTGATCAATTGGATTAAGCACAAGTACTATGTTTATATATATGTTTATATAAACTTTTTCGAATGGAATCGCATTCTCGTAAATATGGATAGCAAAAATCAATTAATGAATAAATCAGTCCATAATTACAGATATATATTTTTACGAAGTGAGGAGTCTGGCTAGTAGTAGTTTGTAGACTTGAAATTTGAAATATTTGTATTTGGAAATGTTATATCTTTTACAACTTTTGAAGCTAGAGACATGAAGTAGCACGTCCAGCTAACAACACATCTATTGTTACAGTTGGCTTTTCCTATAGATTGATCACAAATTTGATTTTGTTTCCAAATCCGTTGAGTCCGATTGTAGTATTTCCAAATATATTCAAAGTTAACTATATGCATAGCGTATCTTTAGTGCTTATTACGTAGTAACAAAATAACATAGCTGAAATCCAGTTACCCTTAAAACAAGCTGTAGCACCTCAGTAGCTCAGCTACAAACCCAAGTAAAGTGGTCTGCAGGCAAGTTTAAGAAGTGAAGTTAATTCATTAATGAAAGGAATGCAGAAAATTAGTGTTCTGGGCTTGGAAATTCATAATTCCGAAAAAATTGTACATATACGTATATTGACTAGGTTTTTAGGCATGCGTTTTCTCGTTCATCGCTCAATTACATAATTTTCTTTATTCTGGTAAACTGTGTTACCATTAATAGGGGTACTCCCCTACATGCATTGGGGTTTTCCTTTAGAAGAGTAAAAACATTTTTTGCCTGTTTAATTTGTTACTGTTACCATACTATTGCACGCACCTTTAGATCACTGCTCTCGTTGTCAATCATATTGCCAACGGAGTTGAGTGCTGCCTCTACAAGCATGCTGGCCGAAGAGGAGTTGGCGCCAACACCGACGCCAGCGCCGGCTCCGGTGAGTCTTGCGTTGGCATTGTTGTAAAAGGAGCTCATGAACGACTGTGAGTGGCTAAGCGAGTTCATTTGCATTTGCGGCGGCTCCACACTGCTGGGTGCTGTAGACGCGCCGGTGGGCGTATGACCGCCAGTAGCAGCAGTTGTAACCCCACCACCCCCACCGCTACCGGCACTGCTGGCAGTACCTGCTGCTCCACCGTTCGTAGTTGCACTGTGATGGTATTGGGACATGGCGGCGGCAGCAGCTGCAGCTGCAGCCGCATTATTATTCGACTCAACGACATCCAGAAAGGAGCTGTTCTCGTCCTCTTCGCGGATGTGCGCGCTATGCTGATGCTGGTGACTGGCATGGCTGGCCGAGGCACTACTCATGAGTCGGGCCAAAAAGTCACGATTCTGACCCAGCAATTTACTATGCTCGTCCACGGCACTGGGCGGCACTGCGAACCCAAGATCTTGGCTAGCGCCGGCGCCGCCTGATAATTGTCCACAGACACCACCACCGCCCCCACTTGTACCATTGCCAACAACTGTATTGGTTGCCACATCACCGGTATCGCTCAAATGGCGATCGTCAGCGCCGATCCATTTCTTGCTGCCTTTGCTTACGACAAGATTCTGGCCGAGAGCCGCATTCATAGCGGCCGCATGCCGATAGCCGGAATCGTTGTGTGTTTGCTGTGTCGATTGCTGTGCTTGCTGGTGCGTATGTGTGTGGGCATGGTGGTGGGAATGATGCTGTTGCTGATGCTGTTGCTGTTGTTGGTGCTGCTGTTGATGGTGCAAGTGATGTGCTGTTGCATCCTCATCGTCCTCATCATCGTCATCATCCTCATCAAGGCCAACGCCGACGCTTACGCCACCCATGTGGCCCATCATGTGCCCAAGTTTGGCGGGATCTTCGCCTGCGCCGGCCATTGCGGAAACGGCAGCTGCTGCAGCTACCACTTGTTGCACCTGCTGCTGGGCACTCAGACGTTGCGCGGTGGTGGTCAGGAACGATTCGACAAGGCTAAGCTGAGCGTTTTGTTTACGACGCACTTGCTCAAGCCGTGCGCTCTCCTCCTCTACGTCGTTTTCGTGTAGTTGCTGCTGCTGCTGGTGAAGCGTGACCGCCTGCTGCTGTTGTTGCTGTTGTGTGTGGGTGTGTGCGTGAGCATGAGAGTGAGCGTGGGCGTGGCTATGGCCATGATAGTGCGGCTGTTGCTGCTGATGCTGCTGCTGGTGCGCTAAATGCGAAGGCGACTGATCCAAATGGCTGCTAAGCTGCTGCTGTTGCTGCTGCTGCTGCTGTTGATGGCATTGCTGTGCGTGTTGCTGGTGCTGAAGCTGGTGCTGTTGATGTTGCTGCTGCTGTTGTTGCTGCTGCTGCTGTAGCTGCTGGCCGACATGCGATGTGGCCGGATCCTTCTTTCTCTTACGCTTACGTCCGCTGCCAGTCACGGCGCCAACATTTGCGCCTCCCATCAGGGTCGCCTGCTGAACAGGCGGCCCCTTCTCAGCAAATATGCTAGAGATCTTAGAGCTGAGCAGCGACAGATTTGGCTCGTTACGACATAGATCCTTAATCGATTTGCCGCTCTTTTTGATGGCCTCGAAGATGTTGTCATCACTGTATTCGGTGTCGCTCTGCATAGAGCTACTGAGCATTGAGTTTTGGTTCTGATCCTCGAGGCTTTTACGTCGCCGACGCGGTGCTTGCTCTGTGAAGGAGACGGCAGCGTTAGGGCGTGGCGCTTGCGGTGCACCCAACAGCGTCTGCCCCACTGGCTTACCCAAAAAGTCCACCTTCATACCGCCCGAATAGGCATCAAAGGTATAGGCCACACTCCGCTCTATCTTCGGCATCTGCTCCTGCGTGTAGTTGTGTACCTTCTTATAATGGAACTGTAGGCACTGCTTTGTGGTGAAGGCGGCATTGCACTCCGGTTCTGCGCACCTGTAAGTGACAATCAGTTGTTTAATATATCAACAATTGCCTTTTTTGATTACTTTAGCTATATATTATTATTTTTTGAACCCAAATCAAAACAAGGACTCAGCTTAATCATAATTCCTGTGTGTCGTGGCTAAACTGATTTCATTAACAATATCTATCTAACGTTACCTAAACACACAATGCTATAAGAGAGTACTAGAACTCACATATATCCTGCTTCTTCACTTATTCTAGTTATTCGCAGATACATAATAATAATTGATAAACGTGTGAGCAAATATCCTTTTGAAATAATATCTACGAATATTCGATGACTTCTAGGCCTCGTCTCTTCCCCAGTCACCACCAGTGTACGGGGAATTGCATATTCAGAGCGTGATATTGAGATTCATTTATGTGTATTTGTCTCTAGTATTTGGTTTTGGAGAATTTGGGAAGGGGGAGAAATGCTAAATCCAAAATATACATTTTTCTGCTAGTCATGCAAGTTCAAAATGTTAGATTTTATCGATACTCATTAAATGGGATGATCTATCGAAACTGATAAGCTCGTACGACATATGGTTTGTACGAGAACACGTTTAAAATGTAGCTCTTATGATTAACGAAATGATGACTGGTTTCTGTCACGCCTCCTTCTGCCTGTGATATACATTTTCACAAATCCATTATACCCTGAACTCCCACTTTCAAAGGGTTCGGTGCTTCAGCCAATTGCTTTAGTCAATTGAAGCACGTTTAATTGAATAGCTTCTGGCCGACATGGGATTCAGATGAAATTTCAGATGAATGTCCACTAGCCATATTTATATGAATTTTGATAATTCATTGTTATGAAATATAAAATACCTCAAAATACAAGAAACTAAATTGAGTGACTTTAAAGCTCTCTGAAGTATGTTAAAAATAACATAGCTGGAAGAGAGATACTCACTTGAAAGGCCGCACGCCCGAGTGCGTGAGCATGTGTATCTTTAAGTTGCTGCGATTCTGGAAGAGTTTCTGGCAGCGCGGACAACTGACCACTGTTGAGTTGCGGCTGTGCACCTCCTTCGAATGGCGCTGCAATGCTGCACGCGATCCTAGAAGTTTTGAACATAATTTACACTGAAAATCTCGTAAAACTTCAGCCATATCTAAAATGAAATTGTATGAAGAAAATGAAATTTTCGGATTGTGGTGATTTTGAAAGAAAATTAGTGAGTACAGAAATAGAATTTATAGGAAAATCGACAAACCCAACTAACCAAAACACAAATCACAAATTACGAAACGTAAGCCATTTATATAAACACACAAAAAGCATAAGTCACTAGATCGAACAAACCAAATCTTGTTTAACAATATCAATGGATTGGTCCAATCACTGCTAAAAACTTAAGATCAAAGACCAAATATCAAACACAAATCAAAACACAAAGCAAATCATTCACTAAAGGCAACTATATAATGGTGCGGTTTACAAATGTTTTGAGAATGTTACGAATGTTTTTCTATTAATGCGGATCTATGTTTCTCTTTATGATTTCTTCCTTTACGTCAATCTAAATGTTTCCTAGATGTTCACTTGTAGCACATTTAGATATTATAATACTAGTACTCGGCTACGTACAATTGCAAAATTTTCTTTTTAGCTGTCAAGTAATCCCTTTTCATGATGACAAAATCAATTTTGAGTCTTATAAACTTGATAGAGCTCATGAACAAGTTATTTTTATTATCATTCACAAAATAAAAGCCAAGCTGTCTGTCCGTCTGTATGTGTGAACGTCATATATATATTCATGGGTCTGATTTTGATCTACCGAAATGTATTAAGAGAGACGTTTCAAGAGTGTGGCATATCGAAAATAAACATATTCTCCAAAGTTTAGGAGCTGGCCCGTGTATGAGTATTATGCAGTCGGTAGCGCCCGGCTGCAACGTTTTTGCATGTTGTATAATCTGCATCTTAAAGTGAATTAATATCAATTACAATCAATTAATACAAATTACGAACTCAACGTATGCTTCTCAATATTGTTCCAGAAATGATATGCTCCTAAAAATGTTTTATATCTCTCAAATAAAAAAGATCTCTATATAATTTTAAATTCATTATTATTATCTGGCAACTAAATACTTAGCATTGATCAAATTGAGTGCTAATTAATATGTATGATATTTTCGTAGTATCCTATATTTATGGTAAAAATAATCAGTATTTACCATTTGACGTAATGACAAATTACACATCTCATTTTAAACAATAAGCCTAATCTATAGAACTATTGGGTAAATAAATGTCTGTAACTAGAATAAATGTATCATGAACATAGCATGAACTTTCGTAATATGTGTCAACTAAAGAAGTTAAACCAAAAGAACCAAGTTCATAAAATGGTTTTGACCAATTCGGCATTCAAATAAAAAGCATGAGTATGAGCGATCATAGATGCGTATGTGTGCGTGTGTGATGGAGATGTAGGCTTAGGTGTATATGCATATGAACATATCTGTGTTCAAGCTATGACTGATACCGATGAGTGTGTGTGTGCGTGAAAGGTCAGTTAGTAGTTGCGGCGATGCGGGTTACGTTATTTTTACGCTATTAGTACATATGACATATGACATTTGATAGTGTGTGAGCTTACTTATAGGCATGTGGGAAGAGTTACAACGACGGATATACTATATGCGATTAATGATATGCGCTGCTAGTCTTGCATACGCTTAGAATATACATAAATCTACGCAGGTATTTACGATCTATATTGAGCCGAGGTGGGGTTGGGGGAATAGGTAGGTTTGGGGTTGGGGGTGTGGCTTGCCCGACTTACCACTGTGGACACGTTTAATATGCGCTTTCAGCTTCTGCGGCTGGCAGAATTTGCGACCACAGAAATCGCAAACTGGCCTCGAACGATTCGGATTCGAGGCACAGCCATAGGTGCGATGCATCTCTAGATAGTTGAGCCGGAGAAAGAACTTGTTGCAGAACTGACATTGGTATGCCCCCTTGCCGTCGTGTTTCTCGGCCGCATGCTTCATAATGTTGTCTTTGCCCAGAACCACCTCGCTGCATACCTTGCAGTGATATTTCCGTATGGTAAGGCTCATCGACGGATCGTGAAAAACTGAACAGTGCGTACGATAGTAGAGCGGATGCTCAAACTTTAAATTGCAGCCGCCGCAGTCTGTTTTTTAGGAAGAAAAAAATCGATATATTGATGAGTTTAATGTTGAGTCAACACAATTAATAATATAACTAAATGGCATTAGTTTAGCAGACAATGTGTTTGCTAACGCCTTTAGCTTACAGAAGATATGTATGGAGTTTGCTGTTGCAAGCGACATGTTGTTTTCATACTGATTTGCCAATATGTTTAAGTGACTGTCAAATTGGAAACTCAGTTGCAGTAACTCTTATTGGACTATAAATTGATCCGCCAGAGTCAAAGCCTTCATGAATAAGTAGTTTCGAAAAGAAAAATCTCCACTAATTTTATGACTAACTACGAGGCATTTGCTTCTTAGCTAAGTAAGGGCCTTACTTATCTTCTCGGTATGCTTTTTGCGCCACATGGTGTTGCAGTCGTCACTCCAATAGAGGAGTTCCATGCCATTGCGTAGATCACGACAGCTCACAAAGTATGCTTGACGATTAATCGAGACGAGGTTTACGTTGCGTTCCTCGTAGCTGGGCGCTGGTCGGATGAAACGCAGCCAGTTGGAGGCATTGGGATTATCGCAGCAGAGCAGATAGGATTTCTCGGCGCCGGCCTCACACATCTCGAATATCCATTTCATGTCGCTACCCTCGCGTACCTCTCCAGTCTGAACCGGCTGTCCGATAAGCGGCCCCAGCTTGGTGTAGGCTCGAACCTCGGTGCGGGCAAAGACGCCAGTGACATTTGGCTCGACGTTGTGTAGCTCGAATTCGGCGGGAACCGATGCCTCAGCAAAGGTAATTAACGGCTTGGTCTCCAGTTCGGACAATTGCGATGATTCGTCCATGTCCATGTCCTCCATATCATCCTCGTCGTCAACATGTCGCGGCCTGCCAACTTTTGCCTCTCTCTGGGCATCTGCCTTCAGTTTGGCTAGGGCTTCCAGATTGCGACGCTCAATCCATTCGGCCAGATCTACAGCATCCGTTACATTGCCGCAGGCATTGCGCAGTGGGCAGAGCTTGTGATCATGCGAAATGGAGCATTCGCGACATGATTGTTGGGATCTGAAAGCAATATCATGCTCATCCTCCTCCTCCACAAAATTTTGCTCCATTTTCATTTCACGTGCCAGCGCCTCTTCATCCAGCTCCTCATCGTCTTCGTCTTCGTCATCGACCGGCCCAGCAGCCGAATCATCTTCCGGCTCGTCATAGCTATTCGGTGGCATCATAGCCGCTGCCGCTGCCGCCGCCGCAGCAGCAGCAACTGCTTTTGCAGCTTGCGACTTCTTGCTGCTGTTTTGGTTCTTGGAGCGCACATGAAAGCTGCCCAGCTGACCGTTGCTGGCACTGCTTGCATCTACAGCCTCCGCATTGGTCAGCAGCGTTCCTGTCGTTGGGGTTGGATGAGCAGTGGCTGCTGCAGCTGCTGCTGCTGTGACTGCTGCTAGCTGCTGTTGCTGTTGCTGAAACTCTTCGTCCTCGTCTTCGTCTTCATCACTGTGTTGTGTCGCCGCTGCAGCAGCGGCTGCCGCCTTTTTGAGACAAAGTGCATTTGGCAGCGACTCTTTGCTGCACGCTTCCAGCTCACTTTTGATCTTCTCTGCTATGCGACAGTCCAGTACCTCGGGCAACGCAGATGAGGCGGCTGCCGCCGCAGCAGCTGCTGCTGCTACTGCGGCACCTGCTTTCAGAGCAGCTGCTGTTGCTTTCGCTTCTTGCTTCTTCGTTTTGGCTGGGCTAGCAAAGTTGTTATTGTTGTTATTATTACTATTGCTGTTGTTGTAACCAGCAGCTGCACCGGCTTTATTCTTTGCCCCCGCATAGCCATTGAGAGCGTCGGTCGTGAATTGGACGCGTTTCTTGTAGCGCTTGCGCTGTGGCGGCGTTGGCGTGGCCATGGCAGTAGCAACGCTAGTAACCGACTCCAGACTGCCATTACCATTGCCATTTTCTGGTGGTGTTACAAAGTCCTTAACGCTCAGATTCGGTTCCAGTTTGAAGTTGCCATCGAATCCCTTGGTGGGAGTGTGCGCCGGCGATGTTGGTGGCAAACTGCAAAAACAGAGAAAGGGAGAGTTTGAGAATCTGTTGAAGTGATGTGCAAGCGAATTAACGTGGAAAAAATGCGGTATTTTCCATGCATGACGTAATTTTCATGCCTGCTCATCTAATCCTGTTCTCAACGCCAGCAGCGGCCGCGCTCTTCTCGATGAGCTGCTTTGTGCTTGTGTCCAAGTCTCGCTCCTGCGACGTTTAATTAATTTTGTTAAGACTCGCTGTGACTGGCCACTGGTAGGTGCCACAGAGGCTAAGAATCAGGGATAAGAATTACGAGCTTCAAAAGATTGCAACCGATACAATTCCAATTGGAATTAGTCTTTGCTGAATAGGTCACACCAGCACAATATCTGCTTATGGCAGAGATGCTTCGATCCAAAGACTAAACCTTTCAGGGTTCATTATCATGATATATATGCATAACATATATAAAGATTATCCAATTTAGTACATGAAAGTATTTTTGTTTTGACTGAAATGACCGATTAATTAATTGATAGTGGTATGGCTGATTGATTGATGTATTGGCTGCCTGATTGATTGATAGATTGATTGATTAATTGATTGATTGATTAACTAACTAATCCACTTATAGAAAAAATTACATACTGCTTGACTAAATTAAGGATAAGCTAGTTGACCGGCGGTTTGACTGCTAATTTGATAGGTGGTCAACGTAACAGTTAGAAAGCAAGCTAGCAAGTGTGGAAAATAAGTGGAATCTGTTCTTTTTATGTTTGCTTTACTGACAGTAATCATACAACATTTAGATGCAACACATTTAGTACAAGCTTCTCCTTGGAATTGTTTCCAAAAGAGTCATATCTTAATACTAATATAAATTTGGGTAATATTCACCAATTCTAATGTATACTAACTGTATTTAATTGAATATAATTTGATCCCAATGTCCCACACAAGTTCATATATTTTCGTGTCTCTGTCGTGGAACAAAAATATGGGACCTCATCTGTGCGCTTCGGTTGATCAACCCACTATCTGCTCTCTGGTCTCCCAAAGCAGCACTAATTGAAATTTGTGCACCAAGAGGTTCCGTTTTACCCTCATGAGAGAAGAGAATTTAAAAATCATGACAAGGTATTAGGGTACCTCCAAGTCGAGCGCTCTCGACTAGAGCAATCTTGCTTAATTTCAATAAGTTCGGTTCCATTATGACCTTTCAATTTAAAGCTACTCAAGCCGAAGTCGAATTGAGTTTAGTTTTTTATTTGAGCAGATTAACTTTTAATGGACCGTTTTAGTTTTAAATATGTAGTCTCTTGACGCAGGAACTTGTTGCATGCTGAAAACTTATAGCTCATCCTTGCTGCAGCAAGCGTTCTATCGTCCTATAATTCGCTTATTCTATTCTTCAATTCCTTTCCATTCTTGATTCAGTAGGTGACAGCGGCCATGCAATCCGACATATGGTGGCTATATATATATTGACTTGCATATATAGATATATAGGTATATCTATAACTACACGATGTTACGGTACTTTCCCTTCAAACCCCCACCTTTCGACTTTACTTTACTTCATAAGCATTAACCTATTCTCAGTCGCGTTTGTGCACAAGAAATTCATCAGCAGAGCGGCGAACGTTAAGTGTATATAGCAATGTTGTTGTTATGTTCAATTGTTGTTGCTATCGCTGGAAATGTCACATGATCCGCAGCAATGCCTATATTATGCCTCTCTCTCTCTATTTTTCTCTCGTGCACTCTCTTCTGTGAGTGTGTGTGCTTAGGGTTTCCTTCATTAAATCCCCCAATTTTGGACCTTAACAACAATATCGAAAACAGCGACACCGCCACAGAAACCAGCGGCAGTCAGCCACCTGCCCCACCTATCTACAGTAGTTCACACACATGCACCACCACACTCGCAAAACAGCCATCTCTAGCCATCACTCACACAACTTATCCTGCTCCACTTTGTGACTCATAGACCAAACACCCCGAACACAAGCTAACATATTTGCTCACTTCTCCCTTTCCCCTTCTATGTCCATATTCCGCATTCGCAAGCTGCCTCGGCCTCCACTGAATTTACAGTTAGCTGTTTGTGTTTCTGTTGCTGTTTCTGCATTGCTCGGTTCTTTTTCTATTTGTCAGCTTTCGTGTTTGTATGTGTATGTACATGCCTGTATGTATCTGTGTGTGCGAATGTGTATGTGTTGCCGTTGCTACTTTAGTATTAATGTGCTGCTTGAAGATGTAGCAGAGGGTTGGCCCATTGCGTTGGCTAGTGGCTGGTGGGATGTTGCGTTTCACTGGGGGCTGATTCGGAAACTGATTCAGTTTCTAGCGTTTCGTTTCGTGTGTGTTACTCGTTGGCGCATTTAGTACACTCATCACTGCACATATATCAACACTAACACATACACACACATACGCACAAATACACATACACACAGTATTGCTTGTGCTTTTTGACGAAATTTCGAAAGTGCGCACAAATTGGTGACATGGGCGAAACTAAAAGAGCACGAAATGAATGAAAGGCTAGGCCAAGCAATGCGTGGATATTCGTACACATGTGTGCGTGTATCTGAATGTGAGTGTGTGCTACAGCCGTTTATATTAGCTATAGTAATGTTGCAATGGAACCCCGGGGACATATGATCAGAGCACGTCGGTTGCGCCCGACTAGGAGATACCTTGATTCCCGTCCGATCTAAGATTTTAAGTATACTCCATAAAAAAATGAACAAAACCCGACATCACGACACCTGGACTGGCCCAAACGCCCCTTCGGCAACGCGCATTGCTTCTACCAATACCGTCACTTCACTGTTTCAATAAAACGTTGCAAATCGAATCATAAACAAATAGACAAGAATGCACGCATTTGAATGTACGTGTTTTTGCATGTGTATTGGAAAAATTCGTACGCTTGTCGCTGCTTGCCACGTGCTTTTACCAGTTGGTAACAATAAATGGAGGATAATTATCGATTATTTGAAACAAACTTGATATGCGCGTCTCTAGCTCACATAGGTTCTGATATCAACGCACTTATACATATGGACAGACGGTCGTAAAGACAGAGGGATGAGTTAAAAAGGGCCAGCTCGTCGTCCTGTTCAAAAAAATATATACTTTCGGGGGTCTGTGACGCTTTCTTCTGCCTGTTACATACATAACAAAATGTTTCATTTCAATGAGTTCAGGTATAATAACAGTTCAATTAATAAAAACTTTTTGAGAATTGATCGTAGCCAAAAGCTAGGCAATGTTCAGTGTGCTTTTCAAAAAGCCTCCACCAGCGCATGTACAAATGAACTTTTAAATAGACATCCAGAGGTAGTTACGAGACTACGTTTTCGAAAATACAATACATGATCAATAAAAATACAATACATGGGAAAAAAAAAATCAATCGCGATCAGTCGTTCGACCTGTAAAGACGTGAATTCGAACAGCCTTCGCTTAAGCTCTACTGCTGCAGAGTTCTAAAAATAGAACTTTGCGGTGCATTCTTCAACGCAACAGCAACAAAAACCGCACACGCAGCGTTTTCTTATCGCTTGCTTCCGCGTAACTCAATTGCTTTAATTGCAATTTACGAAATTTCGTCGCTTGGCGCGAGTGCGCCTGCACTCAAAAGCACAATCCGCGATGACATCTAATGTCAATAACCTCGCTACAGCTGTAAAGGTAAATGCAGAAATGCAAGCCCAGCTTAACGTTGTGATGGCAAATAGGCAAGCCTCCATCATGCCAATAAACTCAAAAATAGATATCGCCTCCGTGCAAGGCATCACTAACAACAAAAACACGAAACGTAAACAGCCAAATTCACCAAAAACCATCAAGAAAAGGCTCATCTTCGACGAACCAAGCACCAGCAATGCAGCATTAATATCAGAAAATCGATTTTCACTGCTCGTAGAAGAAGATGAAGACTACAGCGAATCACCTGTAGCTCCAGAAGCCCCAGTATTGACCGACCAGCAAACTACACCGAAACCTCGTCCGCCCCCCATATGGTGTCCAAACATCAAGTCTGTGGCCCTACTTCAACAGATAATAGATAAAGTAATTGATGCTAAATCATACGTAATTAAGCCAAAGAAGAATAACATAGGTGTATTAACCCAATGCAGTGAGGACTATCGCAGAGTTATAGACCACTTTACTAAGCTGGAATTGGAGTTCCACTGCTACCAGCTTAAGGAGGACAAACCATATAGAGTCGTGTTCAAAGGGCTTCACTCCAGCACTGATACAACACTAATTAAAAAGGAATTGGAAACCAAAGGCCACACAATTACAAATGTGCACAACCCACTGAGCCGTATGGACAAAACACCGCTAAATATATTTTTTGTTGACGTGGCTCAGGCCCCCAACAACAAAGAAATTTTGGACATTCGAGTTGTCTGCAGGCAACGCTGCACAGTGGAACTGCCAAGAAGATACAACGACCTGACACAATGCCATCGCTGTCAAGAATTTGGACACACACAACGCTACTGCCACAAAGCTCCCAGATGTGTGCGTTGCGCCGGGAAACACGCATCCAAAGACTGCACCCGCGAAAAGGACCAGGCACCAACTTGTGTGCACTGTGAGTTACAGCACCCAGCCAACTATAAGGGCTGCCAAGTATACAAGCGGTTGCGCAAATTGCAATCCCCAGCACAAAAAAGGAGTCCCACACAAACACCGTCTACGGGTCCGAGTACTGCTTCCGAAATTACAAGGCCCCGGAGCATTACCCAAGCCACGAGCTTTGCAACGCCTATTAGTGGTGTTTCTTACGCACAGGCCGCTAGAGGTGGACCGTCAAATAAGAATACCACAAGTGACACTTTGTTCACTGAAATGCTTCAGCAACAACAACGTCAGTTTGACGCAATTAATGCCGAGCTCAAAGCGATGCGAGAAGTACAATCCCAACAAGCAACCATGCTAAACAGTTTAATGGCCATCATAACCAAGCTTGCCTACAAATAATGGCTTTACGTGTGGGTATCTGGAACGCC